CACACACACACACACACACACACACACACACGCATGCATGGAGACACATACACACACGCGCACATACACATACACACATACAGTTACTCATACACATACAAACGACATGGTGACCGTAGAATCACACGCAGCTTTGTCCTATTTTAGTGAGGTGATCCCCTCAATATTCATCGTGTTACTTGATCCCCGTTAGCGGCGTGAATTCCTGTGTTTTCCTCGGTCTCCCGCGGTTTTACCAGCCTGTACCAGGACGCAGCGACATCCGCGCACAGCGCCCAGCGGGCAGCCAGCCTCCTTTTGTCTCTGGCATCTGAGTGAGTTTAACGCTGTAATAATGTAGATCGCGTCTGGGGTGTGGTGTAGGGGTTAAGCTTTGAGCCGTTGCACACACGAGACTAGATCTAGAGTTCAATTCCCAAAATTATATTACTATTTTTTTTTTTTAGTTTCTACTTCTGAAATTGTTAAATGGTGTGGTTTTAACGCCTCTATCAATGCAATTAGGTCATTTAAGAGGCGGGGCGTACGAGTTTAAAGTCCATCTCATAAAGGACAAAGGCGGATGGGAAACCGTGTAAAGTGCGTTTTTCAAGGACCCAACGTCGGACCAAGCTGAGGCTCGAACCCCGAACCCACAATCTCACGATTACGGGCCCGGTAGCCTTACCACTAGGCCACCGACGACACTGTACTGTCCTCTGTCTTTTGTGAAACATACTATGTATCCCATCTAACATGGGTTGACCTTCACGTGCACAGTTACATCAAGCCTACCTCTTAAAAGATTGGAGTTAACCGTGTCGATGGGACCATAAAGCAATCGGTAATACCCGACAGGGCAGCATTTGTCTGCCATGCAGAGGCTGGACGTTTAACTTCTTCCCACAGTTAGGACTTAAGGCGCTACCTCAGAATTACAGAGTTCCCTTTGACATTTTTGGTTTGGTTTGAGTTACTAAGACTCAGACCATGAGGTCAGAAACCAAAATGTTCTATTAGCTCTTGCAAAATCCTACGATAGTTCAGAGTGGCCATGAACATAAAATAATATTGTATTTGAAAAAAAAAAAATAAAATAAAAAAACTTGTCTTGCTTTGAAACTTTAAATTGTTGACGTCAAATTTCTCAAACCTAGCTACCGTGCAGGTACAACTTGGTAAGCCTAGGGTAGCGGAGTTTATTGCACATATTTGTTTACCCAGTTTCTCCGAATGCCAGCTGGACTTCGACATAATAAGCAACCAATCTGGTCCATTCTCTACGTTGTGTCAATATATGGCTGTACTATTTATGACAAATCCCAAACTCTTTGGTTGACAAAAATAGGTAATTTCGAGCACACAGCACTTGATCTACTCACTGATATATCTAAAGAAAAAATAGTAGTTTATAGTATTATATCTAAAAATAATAAGAACCTCTTTGAAAAAAAATTATGTTACAGAGAAAATAAATATTTGAAAAAATAAATAACGTAAATACCTATTTTTGAAAAAATGGAAATAGATGAAAAATGAACTTTTTAAAAAGAGAGAAAGTGAAAAAAGAAAGAACGCTATCAGCTTTTATTAAGTTTCGTAACGAGGCAATTTTAATACAGTTTAGTTTCTTCTTTCTAGCGCCCAATACTTCAGCTGCTGGCCATAAAGTTTTTACCCCCGTCAAAGTCAACATTTCTCTGCCCTCACACATGCGCTGTGTCTAGTCTCCTGTCTCTGTTCATTGACCGCGCCAACTCCTCAATACACCTCACACTCGCCTCCCCCGCCAACAGATGGACGTCAGAGCTAGCCAAACTCTCCGCGCCTCCGTCACTCTCATCCTCATAACCCGCATTCTCGATATTTTTCGATAACTTTGATCTCGAACAAATCTCGTTATCGACTAGATCAGAAGATGATTTGTAGTCTTCCTTCAACCTTTCTCTACCAAAACACCGTTCGTTGCGTTCATCGTTATTTATACAGGTGGTACTTTTGTTAATGTTTAAAAGTAACTTCGTCTCCATCTTGTCACCCACATCTTCTCCTCTCAACACGATGTCGTTGTGGTTATCGGTTACGTTATCAGCAGTAACCGCTAAATGGTGAGGCTTTGGACCTTGGGCAGACTGACTCCATATCATGGACGTTGTATGACTTTCTGTAATTGATTTTTCCTCCTTTGGAAAAGATGAACACTTAGTGTCGGTGACGGAGGTTCGACCATTCCTTTTTTGAACACTGCACGGCTTACGATAGCTGTCTCCACCTTTCAGAAAAGAACCAGAAGAAAAGACGCAGCTTCTCGTCGTATTTACGTCATCAGCATTTGCGTCACCTCTCCTGTAGCAAACTCGTGATTTCCCTAAATTGTGAAAATTTTGTATATTGTTTAAAGGATTACTTTCAATCCTTCTGTTTGCGCCTTCGATTTTGTCATAACGAGCGCGGGTTCTAGGGTTACGGCACGTCTCGGTATGGCACGATTTTCGTAGGAAACGTTTTGACTCTAAATCCATTTCAATGACGGTAGAGTGTTGCTTCTTTTGAAAGCCGTCCTCACTCTGTGATAGGTGAGAAATGTTTAAGTTTTCTTCTCTTTGCGGGTTCCTCCCATCAACGGAACATTTGGTCTTTCTCTGATACCCTACCCTCGTATCTCGGGATCCATTTCTCGACGCATTGCCTTCGTCATCAAGTGGTCGTAACGTACCAGGTGGTCTAGTCCCGGTTCCGGTCTTTGGGTCCTCTCTTCGGCTAGTCGTGTTTTTCATCTGTGACGTCAGGGCCTGAAGATTTACTTAAAAGAAAGGTTGGTGAGGAGGGGGTGGGTTGTTGAAGAGTGAATTTCGAGTAAAGTGAACCACATCAACGAAGTATCCACCTTTTAGTGAATGAACAAAAAAATAACGACTGACATAAGCAATAGGGTGCCTTTCATCTTTGAAAATATGAGATGTGAGGTTGCTTTCAACACAGGAAAATAATAAGAGAAACAATAATAATAATAATAATAATAATAATAATAATAATAATAATAATAATAATAATAATATAATAATAATAATAATAATAATAATAATAATAATAATAATAATAATAATAATTAATAATAATTAATAATAATAATAATAATAATAATAATAATAATAATAATAATAATAATAATAATAATAATAATAATAGTTGTGACGACTAACCTTGTGTGTTGTTATGTGTGGAACGTGAGTTCATGAGTGAGAGTTCAGGGAAGTCGCCAAGCTGTTCGAGTGAATGTACGAATGTAATGTCTCGTCCTGGAAGGCCTTAAGTGAGCGTATTTCTCTTCATTCTACAACAGGATTATACTCGCCGTCTTCCTACCCCTTCTAATAATTTGCTGAACGAAAGGACATGTATGCTACATAGTAGTAGTAATAATAATAATAATAATAATAATAATAATAATAATAATAATAATAATAATAATAATAATAATAATAATAACAACAACAATAATAATAGTAATAACAATAATAATAATAATAATAATAATAATAATAATAATAATAATAATAATAATAATAACAATACACAGGAAAACAAAAAAGAAGTAGAACCTACAGAGGCACCCTACAACTTTCCTTGTATGAGGACAGGGCAGGACACTTTGCCAACGTACTGCTGAGGTTGGCACACAAAAGGAGGGAGTAATAATGGTGTCAAGACAGTGGAATCAAGCTCTGGTCCTTTTTTGGACATGTTGAATTATTGATATAAACTTTTATAGCTTGTCTTCCTTTTGGTGGAAAAAATACTTATCAGTCTTAAATAAAAGTAAAAATGTTTGCAATTTCATAAGGTGGGGTTTGTCTGGTGTCAGAGATAAACTAAGCGAAAAAATGTCCCCCCAAATCTGGTGACTTCCATAGTGTGAAAGTCCTGGGAAACTCAGAATTTACATTTTGTGCACGTTTTTCAGTGAAATCCGTACGAAAAATTGTGTTTTAAAATGGATATAAAATGTTGAGCAAAACAACTAAAGATCGACTGAAATTGCCAAAGCGGTGGAAAATGATGTTTTTTTTATATCATTATTTTAACGAACGCCTGATTTCACCATGGTATCTTGCATATAACTGGCTAACAGAAAGTATTTCAATTGTCTATGCTGTGATTTTCAGACCCCCCCTCCCCCCCAACCCCCCCCCCCCCCCCATAAAAATCCCACAAGCAAACAAACAACCACAGCACAGGCCTCAGTTCATGTCCCTCTCCCGGAAGACGTTCTGTCCAGGATCTCCGTCTTTCCGTCAGATTTCAACATCATACTCAACTCGACTTTGCAACACTAACCCGGCCTGTAGCTGAGGTCTATGGCTGGCCGGAGCTTCCAGCGGTCAGTGTTGGTCACGTGACACATGTAGTCGGACATATAAAGGTCAAGGCAGTCGTAGAGGAGTCTGTACTCCGCCTGTAGACAGGGTAACAGTACAAGGCAGTGTATAAATACAGTCAAATATTATTATCAATAATTCTGCTTTTTTTATTCTCTTGGGAATAAATGTGGTTTACATTGGCATACATGAATACACACATTTTATTGCATAAATGCATAAGAGCATGAAAAAGACACAGTGTCAAAGATATAGACAATCCGTATACCTTCGCTAATCTTAACTATGGAGTGCCCTGTATTCTTTTTGTTATTGTTATTGTTGTTGTTGTTGTTGTTGTTGTTGTTGTTGTTGTTGTTGTTGCCCTTGTTGTTGTTGTTGTTGTTGTAGTTCATTAAAAAAGGATTATCGGTCTTGCGCACGGATATTCTCGGATGACTATCCCCCTAAACACCGCATTACCGACGCACACTTGATATTGATTGACCTCTCATCTGCTGGTATCTATGTATGTGTTTTGGTACAAATAAAACTGAGTCCCAACTTCAAATACTTGACCTATGGTGCAAAAATATGCAATAAAAGTGGAGACCCCAAACGTGTATAGTAGGTCAGTCAAGTTTCGGAAGGTGTTAAAAATGTGTGTGTGTTTGTGTGTGTGTGTGTGAGGGGGGGGGGGGGGGTTCTTCCACCTAATCCTATAACCTCCAATCCACTATTCTTTTTTGGTTTTTGTTATTGTTGTAAGTGTTTTATGCCCCTCGTAACTACATAAGGTCATAAGAGTGCGCGGGACACATTGAACATTTTGAATAAAAACCTATTGCTATCATATCACCTGTTGCAACAAGATTAACTAAAAATAGTATGTCTGTTGGATTTTTAAAAAGTTGCATTAAGGGATGGTTTTAAAAAAAATCTTTTACCGCGCTCACAACTGCATAAGGTCATATGGGCGCCAAGGGGTCATGGATGTCAACAAAGAAGTCCAAACAGGGAATCAGGCTTACTCTGCTCACCTCTCTAGGTTCAACAGCACAAAGTCTTCTTCGATTATCAAGGCACCCCGGAAATAGCGGGTCACAAGACAGTGGCAAACATACACAAGAAGTAGAGGAAAATGACGATAGCATTGGGTGTTTGGTTTCGTAAAACGTAATAGAAAGAGTAATTGAATAAAAGTAAACATAATATTATCTAACCATGTCGCGAACAGCGCTGGGTTCCTTGCTCCTCAAGTACTTCACCGTGTGGTACACGTCCACCTCCCCGTCCTCTTGCACTTTCTCACACATCAACACCACGGCGCAGAACAGCAACGACGCCGCAGATGCGGGACTTTCAGCTTTATCATACTGAATCAGTATCGGTGAGTGGGCGGGGCGATGGGAATAGTGGGCGGAGCTACAGGTGTAGTGGGTGGGGCTGCAGGAATTGTGCGCAGCAGCTGCTACCGTCGTGGTGTTGCGAACTGATGTCCGTGATTCTGGGCTCTGGTCTGAGAAGCGTGGTATTTTCAGCTGCTGGTGTGGTTGTTGTTGATGATGGTGATGCTGTTGTTGCTGTTGGTGTTGTTGCTGCTGCTGTAGTTGCAGCTGTGATGGCGCTGTTTGCCAATCCATGACAAGCTCCTGGAGTCTCAGTAAGAGGTCTGGTGTCATAACAAAGGGACTAGATGACTGCCTGTATTTGTGTGGCAAAAGAGAAAAAAGTCGATATGATTATCATCTTTTGTGACTAAAGCATTGCTTTAAATAATTGAATACGTCTAAAAAAATATCAAATGTATCCAAAGATAGACTGCATGAAAATGTGTAAAATATTGTTTTAAAATCTTTTCTTTAATACTGATTTATTGTAAAACTGAATAATAACAACAACAATAACATCAGCATGTGGCGCCCGTAGCCTAGCTAGTTGTAAAGCTACTGGACCCGTGAAAATGAAAATGAGATTTCAGGTTCCGGGGCTCAATAAAAACCTATAAAATCTTTGCCATATCGACAGACCGCCGGGCTAGAGCTCAGAAGGCAGCTGGTTTCTTTTTTAAAATGTTTTTGTTGTTGTAAAGATCACATTAAAATTCCCAGCATATCTTAGTGCCGACTGATTGCTGATTAGAATAAAACAACAACAACAACAACAACAACAACAACAACAACAACAACAACAACAACAACAACAACAACAACAACTTTAAGAAGGAAAACAACACCAACAGAGAAATAAACACCTTTTTAGAATTCTAATGGCGGCACAATTTGTACAGATGCTCTATAAAGCAAATTGGTGCAACGCTGAGCTGTATGACGCATGACTCTGGTTCGAATCGCCAAAGCGGTATTCTTAAAATCAGATTTTTGGTAGAGTTGACAAAACTATTCACTAATCTCCTAGCTTTGCAAAATCGAACGTAAACATTTAATTTGGAGTGCCTGGCTTTATAAAAACGTGACTTTGCTGAAAAGTGCTTGCACAAACAATTACACCGTTATGATTGATACCGACTGGGGGCTTTGGTAGGACGTGTCAAGTCTGCTACCGAACTGTCTCTCACCTGATTCCCTTTCTTTTGGGAGCTTGAACAGCGTTAGAGCAGTTGATGTCCTCGAGACGCTTCGCTGTATTTTCAGTTATTCCGACCTTTACCATAGAACATGTTTTGTGAGCTATTCCAGTGCCTGCTCTGTGCTTATTTCTATCTTTGCAATGACGATTGGTGAGTTGTTGGCATCTAAACAGTAACTTCTGTCTAGCCTTGTCACCAGAAGTAGCTGTCTTTTGTTTTGCATTTCGGTCACGCCAACGTTTAGAATTATTCAGGAATTTCCGTTGATATTTTGAGTCAGAATTCCACGAAGGGGAGACTGCAGAGTTGCACGTATTTTCGCAGAGAAAGTCGAGCGTAGTGAGTAAAGACACGTCTTGCTGTGGCGACAGTTGACCCGGGCAGTAGGAGGGTTTGGAAAACTTCGGTTCCTTGATGTTTGTGTTGGTTTGCTCAAACCCATTTCTGATTTTGTTGAAAACGGGAGAGTCTGAGCAAGGGAAATTCTGAAGCGTTTTGTTTCCACGCGACATTTTCACTTCTGCTTTTCTGTCATTTTCTAAGACCGGAGAAAAATGTGAGACAAGCTGAATGACGTCATTTGCCACTGAGGGTGAATCGCTCACGGCTGCAATTTCATCTGGTATTTTCGGTTTGAACACACTCGTCGTGTGTTCAGGCGTTGATGACGTTTCACTTGATGTGGTAAAAAAATCTGCATGAAATTCCTCAACAGGGTCGCTATACTGTTCAGGGCTCACCGGTTTGCCCAAACCACTTTCGTCAATAAAGTGTCCGTCCATTAACTGGGTGGGGACAATTGTACAGACACTGTTTTTCCTACTACGTGACTCTCCCGCCTCTGAAATACAAAGTGTCGGGTTTCTCATCGATTCTTCGTACGCCTCTAGAGGGGAGATTTTCTTGTCGACAAGTGCTTTCTCCACTTTAAAGAATTGTTGGCCATATTTCGTTTTCGATTGAATAAGTGGTGATTGCACGGTGTTTTCTGCTTGTTCGTCAAGTGTGCCGTTTATAAATGGGGGTGTTTCAATAATTCCTCCAATTTGTTCAGGCAATGACTCTGTTTCGCTAGGGGTAAATGATTTTTCTAAATTGACTGTCTCTATCTCGCAGATTTGCTCTTCTAAAAGCTCTCGTTTTCCAGTACTGGAAGAGTTGATATTCTCTGACGTGGGGATGTTAGAGGTTACAGTGTAAGACTCAGACTTTATGACTGGATTATTCAGAATTTTTGATGCCCGTAATTCTGGAATTCTAACTGATCCATGCAAAGTTTTGGGCTCTATTTTGTGTTCAAGAGATTCTTCTCTTTTTCTCATGAAGTTGTTGTCCTGGTATCCAGGTTTAAAAACCAACTGTTTTGACGTTCTTGGTAATTCAGTTGAGTGTGTAAGAGGTTCTTTCACTGTTATAGATGGTTGCTCGGGATGTTTCTGTTGCCTTTCTTGTGTAGGAATCATTAGCTCTTGCTCCCGTATTGTTCCGTCATTCTTCAAGACGTACTGCTCTGCCTCTTTCAAATGCACTTCTTGTTGTAGAATAGACCGATTTCCTTTCTGTGTTATTGCGTCTGACCAATTGACTGGTTGTGGCGACCTTTCTAATAAATTCTGTGCTGTTGAGATTCTGGGCTGTTCTGGATTGTTTTGTGGTTCTCTTTCCACAGTTACGGTACCTTCTGCCTTCGTAAGCGGTTTAATCAATGAATGTTTCTGTATACTTCCTCCGTTTACCGTATTTACTTTTTCGAAATTTCCCAACGGCTGCTTTAGTCTTATGCCTCGTTGTGCAAGCGTCTCTGGTAGCCGAACTTGTACTGTGTTCATTGAGTTTTCTAGTATTGTGCTCAGCATCTCTTGCTTTCTATCGGACCCCCCTGGTTTACTCTGCGTGTTTTGTTGAGCTGTCAGACGACGGTGCTTGGAGTTTTCGGGCTCTCTATTAACACTAAAGACCAAATTGGTCGCTGGGTGCGGGGATGGGTTCAGATTTAAATTTTGTTCCCGGTAAAGGCAATCTGGTCTGTGTATCTTTGTGCGGGAAATATTGTCTACAGCATCTCCGTTTTTCCGCTCCTCGCTTAGAGCAGATACTTGGTCGGACATAGTATGGTAACCCTTCATGTTGTCTGGCAGGTCATACTGGCGTGTTGCAGGTGCTTGGAATGGCGTCATTTGGTCGTCAGGATGTGGGAAAAAACCAACAGTCACCTGTCCGACTGAATGGAGCGGGCATGGAGAAGGCTGATTTTGTGATGAGTATGAGGAAGGCAGTGGTGCACCTGAGCAATGCAGCTTTTGATCAGAGTCTTGAGAACACCATTTTGATCTTGCGTGGGAGCAGTTGACAGCCTGCCCTTTTTCCCAAAAACAATTTACGGAAGGTAAATATCCTTGAACGTCCGGACAGCATGATCCTGGGACATCCGGATTTGATGACTGAGGGTTGACAGCTTGTCTGGTGTCGGGTTTAAAGAATTGCAGATCAAGAGATTGCCATGTTTTGGGATTAGATGATTGAGGATTTAATGATTGCCAGGTGTAGGGATGATATGCTTGAAGATTCAGAGATTGACAGTGATCTGGATTAATGGATTGTGGATTGACGGATATCCAAAAACCGGGACTGGCAGATTGAGGATTGAGAGATTGCGAGTAGTGTGGATACGTAGAGAGGTTCTGGGGAGTGGAGTACTGCAAGTGGTTTGGATCAGCAGGCTGCGGAGTCCAAGACGACCAGTAACATGGATTCATCAACTCTGGAGTGACGGGTAGCCAATAGCTTTGATTTGGTGTTTGAGGAGTAAAGGTTTGCAAGTATATAGGAGAAATTTCTGAATGATTTGCCTGATGGCTATTTGGAGATGTCGCAGTTGGGCCACCGAGCCCCTGCATCAGATTTGGAATATCCCTGCTCCCGACCTTTGATGTTCTCCGGCGTCTCTGTCTACGCTTTCCAACACGTCCGTTTTGTTGACGAACCTTTTTCTCACGTTTTGCCTTCGTTTTGTTTGTTTTTCTTGGGTTACTTTTATCATCCACAGTCATAGATACGGTCTCCGTGTTGTGTACCAAAGAAAATAGACGAACTTCTCGTACTTCTTTTTTCCCAGTTGCGCGTCGTACCTCCAAAGAGATGTCTTTGACAACGATTTCGTGATACCGGTGTTCACAAAGTGTCTTGACTGTTAAAACAATACCGTTCTCTTCCCATCTCACACCGGAAAACTGCACCGAGTCCAAGTCAGATGAACTCACGTTATTACAGCTTCTGTCTCTTTGGACGGGTTCATCGTGTTGTGTTCGGGGTTCAAATCCTGACACCTTGTCGGACTGTACAGCAAGCCCAGAAAATTCGTTTGGGTTAAGTTGTACGAGAGTTCTCACGTTGTGATGGTAGACAAAGTTCCAAAAGCCCCAAGCCTCGGATCGTGTGATGGCAGACGATGAAAGGACCATCAAGTCTTTCTGGCGGTGCCCATCGATGAAGGCAGCACAGAAATTGTCATCTTTGGCATTGATCAGGATGTTGTCGGTGGGAGTTGGTCTGTTGTTCTGATTTAAAAACAAAATCAGCGATACTTTGTTTTTATTTTTTTAAATCTGTTTATGAAAAGAGATGGAATGTTGAATTGGGGTAAGAGGATGTGTGTGTGTGTGTGTGTGTGTGTGTGTGTGTGTGTT